GCCTCGTGCCGATGACCTAGTTGATGTCATCATTTACCCAGAATGCTTTGCATGTAAATAAAATGGCCCCGTCCGTGTTAAAATATATTTTTAAAATTTTTCAAAACTAAACAGCCTACAGTATTTTTACAGTCTTTATTTTACAGTTAAAATATATGTTTATCAAATAAAGTCTAATGTTACAACTAATCAGGGATCCCTTTAAAGGGTGATATTTTAAACATAGCATAGGCAGTTCTTTGCACAGAACAAAATAAATTGATAGATGTTTTTAATTAGACTGACAGAGCTCTGCCTTAAAACATTATTTCACTGAAAGAAACAAAATTTTTAAAGACTTCAATTAACACAGACAAGTTTGAGTATTTGACAAATTGGAAATATTTTGTTCTGAGGCTGTTGTGTGGGTGGTAGGTGAAGGACAACTGTTTTTCTCCAAAAGGGGGTGCCCAATAAAAACAGTTTGAGAGTAGAGAAACCCTGAGTGTTGATCATGTTGGCAGCACGATGGCTCAGTGGTTAGAACTGTTGTCTCACACCAACATACCTGCCAACCGTCCCGGTTTGGACTGGGCGGTCCTGGATTTGATCCTCACTGTCCCATGTCCCGCACAAACGTGGGTGGAATGCCCAAATATCCCACAATTGAGAAGTGTTGCCTTTGCTTACAGTATGTGTTTTTGCTACCTGGTGGGGACAACTTTTGATAATTTTCTTGGTAGACCCAGCCTGGTGAGGACTTAAGCTTTGTTTATATTTCAATAAGACGTGCGACAGCGGATTGTTGATTGCGCAATTTCAGAGCGTATTTTTCCTGACCGAATATAAACGAGCTGCAGACGCGGTGGCCATAAATTATCATAAATTCTCCCTCTGACCTCCCTCTGCTCATATAAAGTATATAAACAACAATAACGATGGTTGGATAGTGTTTTTTCCCCACTCAAAATCAGTATTAAGCTGAGTGAAGTAGAGCCGTTTTATTTTTTTATTTTTTTTATTTTTTGAGGTGGACAGAACGCGACCAGCTGTGTGCTCACGCTCTTTGGGACCTGGATCAAACCACCTGAGCTCTTTTTAAAACTGGCTTCAGACAAAAAAATATATAATTTTTAACAAAATAACGCGCAGAAGGAAGAGCTGCTTTGGGTGATCCTGTTCTGGTCCAGCTCGGTCCAACTCTCAGCACCGCCACAGCTGAGGAGCGCTGGCCCGCTGCGGTGCTCCATGAATAAACACACCCATGAAGTTCAGACCAATCACACGCACCGAGCTGCATCCTCCACGTCTCCAAGTTCTGGCTGGGGGCAATGTATAGGACAGCCGTCACCGGGGGATCGCAGCGGGGGTGCAGACGGAATTTGCGCAACTTTTTGTCACTCAGCGGGTGGTAAAAGACGTGCAACAAGAAGTATAAACCAGCCTTTAATGTTTCTAATGGGGACAACAGCCTGGTCCCTATTGGGTGAAATACCATTGGTGGGTCAGGGGTTAGGGCTATGGTGGGAATTGAGTTTAGGTTAGGTTTAGAGGGTCAGGCTTAGACTATAGAATTTGCCAGTAAATGAATGGAAGTCAATACAAAGTCCCCATGAGGATACAAGAACAAACATGAGTGTGTGTGTGTGTGTGTGTGTGTGTGTGTGTGTGTGTGTGTGTGTAGGGATGAGGGAATCTCAGTTGATGAGGGACACAGACAGAGGAGCTGCTCCACAGACGTCTCCCAGCAGCAGGACTGAAGTTACCGTAATAACCTTATGTTGGCTGCAAAGTGCAACTTCTCAGCTTCCAGAAACTGTCAGAATTTTTCTGATGGCCCAAACTGTCGTAGAGTTAAGGTAAAGCAAATCTGGAGCTTGTAGCATCTGCGATAGACTCGTTAAAGAGATTCGTGGTTTTCTTTGTTCCAGTCATCAACCATAAATTATTAAAGTGAAAATCTTTGTGTGGAGCAGAATGTGAATGTTGGAGGGGGTTGCTTCTTTGTATCGGTGTGTGTGTTTGTGTGTGTGCAAGTTTCAGGAAACAAGAGTAATTTATTCTTTAGCTTCTGAGGCAGAAAAACGCGTGAGAGAAGGTGGAGGTGGGATTTGATGTTTATCTTTGAAAACAAGACATTATCTCTGATTTAATAGTTTTATTTCTGTTCACAACCAGACGTTTCACTGCTCCACCTTATTGTGTAAATACAATAAGTAAAAAGACAACAGTGTAAGACAAATAGTATGAGGAGAATTCTCAGGCTGCTCTGTTTTTGTTACCAACTCATGGAGTTCAGTTTGTAAGAAACAACAAAATAAGGATAAACTAAGTTTCAAGAATGATGTCAGATAAAGACTGTATATCATTAAGCAATTTTATGTTTTTATAAGTGTAAAAAATGAACTTCAAATGGAAGGAAAATTTGTATATTTGAGTATTGTTTTTTTTTTCTGGGTGGTCCAGAATCTGGAACCTCCTGGAATCACTCCTGCGCCTCCTGTACATATACATTCACCGGCCACTTTATTAGGTACACCACGCTAGTACCGGGTTGGACCACCTTTTGCCTTCAGAACTGCCTCAATTCTTCGTGGCATAGATTCAACAAGGTGCTGGAAGCATTCCTCAGAGATTTTGGTCCATATTGACATGATGGCATCACACAGTTGCCGCTGATTTGTCAGCTGCACATCCATGATGCGAATCTTCTATTGTCCCAATTTCGATGAGCTTGTGCAAATTGTAGCCTCAGTTTCCTGTTCTTAGCTGAAAGGAGTACCTTGGTTGTAACGGGTGGTTATTTGAGTCACTGTTGCCTTTCTATCAGCTCGAA